ATAGAAACATCAATGATGAGAGAGAAGCATGGATCTGCTGCCTCCTGCACGACCCACACTGGGGATTGAGACCACAACCCAGGCATGTGCCCTCCTGGTTCATAGGCCCACGCTCAACCACTGAGCCACGCCGGCAGGGCAGGAAAAGGGGGCCTGGAGACAGGTTCAGGGGGTCAGCCTGGGTGCACCTGCCCCTGACCATTGCTCCCCTCCTTGCAAATCTCCTGAGGTCCCTTAGAATTTGGATGAGTGCCTGTGGGGGAAGAAGGGGGGAGGGGAAAGATGCAAATGAGTAGCCTATTACTAGTAGGACTTACTTTTCATCCGAGTATATAGAGAAGAGAAAACCAGACATTCAGGTCACCACCAGCCCAGGGCAGCCCAGCTCCCCTGACATTGTGAGCGCCTTTGTGTGACCTGTGAAGGGGCAGCAGGTGCCACTGCTGCATGGGGACCTCTTGTGATCCCCACCTGGTCATGACTTCCAACCAGGAGATGAGCCTCTTTCCTTTGCCCCCATCCCTCCCCTGCATATGTTCTGTGGTACACCCAGGGAGCTGCCCATCACACACAGGGATTTGGGGCAGGGACAGGGGAGGGGGAGGGGCTTAGAAGAGGGCCAAATGCAGAGAGGCCTGATGACTTTCAGATGAGTCACTGTGGGAAGGGACCAGAAGAGCCCCAGCCTCCCTCTTTGGGTGAGAACTTCTTGTGCATACTTACTCCTCCCCCTCACCTGGGGTCAGATAGACTGGGCTCAGGGAGGGCAGGACTCTGTCCAAGGTCACACAGTAGGAAGTTAGGACACAGCTAAGTTAATGGCACAGACCCCTGTCCAGTAGCAGATAGTCCAGTCCATGGAGGGCAGAGCTTCCAGGAAGGAGGGAGGGAAGGAGGGCAAGAAAGAAGGAGGAGGAAGGAAAGAAGGATGGATGAAGGGTCCCTGTGGCTCCCGAGCACAGGAGGAGCAGAAGGGGAAGCGGCCAGGACCTACCTGGGATCCGCTGGGTGTATGTCCCACAGTCTTCAGCCTCTGACTTTTTGCAGTCCTTGGGGATGACGAATATCCCCGAGGTCTGGCAGCACCTCTGTGTGGGGCGGTGGAAGGGGTACAAGTCTCTGCAGCAGCTCCACGTGGAGTCCTTGGGGTCCAGGGCCACGCTGCCACAGAGTCGCCACTTCTCCTTTCTCACCACCAACACCTCGCCTGGGGCCAGACAGCTCAGCATAAGGCCTGGC